TACACATCCATCTTATTGGTGTGCATTTCTTATCCTATTGCGCATGCAAAAATTACTTAAGCTTATTCTCCAATATTTTATTTTGAATAGATTCCACTTATATAATCATTCAATAAAATCATTTCACAATATATCATTATGCAATTTAACATGCTCATTTCCATCACCTTCAACTTGACTACCAATGATTTTTTTTAGTGTCCATCAAATAGATCCACAAAATAGAAGTCACCAAACAAAAGATTTATTAAATAATCATTAAGTCTACAATATTTTATAATCATTTAATACTCCCTGAGGCATTCCTCCATTTTAACAACACATCTTTAAATCTAAAAGTAATTTCACTACTTTATAAATGGATTCAACTTACTTAAAGTTATCACATCTACAAATCACCTTAACTTAATGAAATATTGATTGAGAGTTATCAAAATCAAGGTCGCTAAAATTGCATATCATATAGTCAACCTTTGCACACAAACCCTTGTCATTTTATTTTCTAAATATTCTCTGCATTGAGGTGGTTTTCTATCAATTTCATCCAACTTCTTACTAGTTAAAATCACAAAATCTGTTAAAAACATAAGCCTTATTATCCTCTTCGTTGTGTTCTTTCAAAATTGTTTATTCCTTAGAAACATTATGTAATAATTTCTCAAAATAGAAATTACATTATTCATTAATCTTTACCTAAGATATTATTATCTTACTTCAAATAACTTTAATCAAACTCTTTAAATCTCTTTCTATAATCTTAGTTTTTTTAATCAACCTCATTTCAAATTCCTTAGCACATAGTTTACTAGTAGATCAAAGGCAATAGCTTTTACATCACACACTGCACTCCTTGCTCACAAAACTAAGATATTTAGCCAACTTTTTATAAACCACATTTCTTTTCCTAAATTATTGTTTGTGCCTCCTCACTCAACTATTAAATCTCGTTACTAATGTGAGATTTATTTTTAGACTCTAATCTACTAAATCTTTCATAAAAATCATCTTAATGGAGCCAACAATATATCCAATAACACTGCCGTTGCCGGTCCCAAGCCCGAATGAGAAAAGTGGAGGGTTGCGTTAGGTAGTCGACAGCCAGCGTAAAACTTGTCGAAAAAAATCATGACATGAATCCTTTTGATCATTGTGTAAGTGCTAGGGCGTCCCCTGGAAGCGACGCGTTGTATAG